CAAACCACTGATGGAGATTGCTGTTACGTAGTCATACGGTTACTACCTACGTAGCCCTGGGGAGTTACGTTGAAAATCAACTGGAAATCATCCACGTATACGTGGAAAAATTAGAGCATCACGCCTGTCAACCCGCAGCCGTTCTTGGTGTGTAGGGTTGTCAGCGGAGGTTTCACGTATTGGTCGTGTTGGTCGCTCACTTTGTTGCATTTGAGACTGCGCCTGGCGTCCACTTGCTGGCACTCAACTCTCACCTGTGGCTACACGTAGCTGGACTCTGCTCAGCGACCACACCCGGGGCAACCGTCTCGACCGGCGGGCTAAACCAGGTTAGGGGGCCCTTTGCGCTGTGCCGTGTGCACAGTGTTTGCGGATTCTGCTTGTTGGAAGGTCGGATGGAACCTTGCGTCGACACCGTCGTGACGTGGTCCGTCTCTGCACGCCGCTGGACAGCCGGTGACGGGATGGATCTCCACATCGACATCGCCTTGACGCGCCCACCTACGCTGTCGGAGACCGTGGCTTGCGGCGAATTCGAGTCGCTCTCCGCTACAACCCGAAATCGTGGTCCCATAGTGGAGTTCGGCCGTGCCACAACGGCACATGGCAGCCCTATTCAGGGATGGCACTGTCAGCCCCCACGAGGGGAAGGGCCTAGAAAAGGTGGCCTAAACATTGCTGGGTACCGCGCCGTCTCCAGGCTAGCCAGGGCCGCAGACATCTTATCATGGTCGAAACAATCAAAATCGAAACAACAACAATACCAATAACAACAACAACCATACTCATTCTCCTCATCCTACCTCTTCTTCCTCTTCCTCTGCCTATTCTTCTGCCTATTCTTCTCCTTCATCACCTTCTTCCCCATCTCCTTCCCGTCGCCCCAGTCGTTGTCACCAGACTGGCAGGGTGAGCCCGCTCACTCTGGCAGCCTGGAATGTTCGTTCCCTTTTAGACAATCCGAGGAGCAGCCGACCGGAACGGAGGACGGCGCTAGTGGCACGAGAACAGGCGCGCTACAAGGTGGACATCGCCGCACTCAGCCAAACCAGATTCTCCGAACAAGGCCAACTGGAGGAGGTGGGTGCCGGCTACACCTACTTCTGGAGCGGTCGCCCCAGGGCAGAGCGATGGGACGCGGGTGTCGCCTTCGCCATTCGGAACGACATCGTGGGACGACTGCCCTGTTTGCCGCAGGGCATCAACGTTCGCCTGATGAGCCTCCGCCTGCCTCTCAGGCGAGGAGGCAAATTCGCCACCATCATCAGCGCCTACGCTCCGCCCATGACCAACCCCGACGCCGTCAGAGACAAATTCTATGAGGACCTGCACGCACTCTTGGCGACTGTGTCGAAGGCGGACAAGTTGATTGTCCTTGGTGACTTCAACGCCCGCGTCGGCACAGACCATACTGCCTGGAGAGGATTGCTGGGTCCCCATGGTCTCCGCGGCTCAACTGACAATGTTCTGCTGCTTCTCCGCACCTGCGCAGAACACCGCCTCATCCTGACGAATACTTTCTTCTGTCTGCCGGAGCGACAGAAGGCCACCTGGAGGCATCCTCGGTCGCGCCAGTGGCATCTGCTGGACTATGTCCTCGTCCGGAGGCGATATCAGCGGGACGTGCTGGTGACGAAGGCGATCGCGGGTGCTGACGGGTGGACCGACCATCGCCTCGTCATCTCGAAGATGCGTATTCGCCTACAGCCTCGCAGGAGACCGCAAGGTAAGCGACCCCCAGGTAAGCTGAATGTTGCTTTGTTGTCTTTGCTCGCTCACAGTCATTTCAGCAATGAGCTAGCTCAAAGGCTAGACAACTTTCCTATCGCTGCCGACGCCGCCGCTGCCGAGAATGCCTCCGTGGAGAACCGCTGATGTCAACTGCGAGACACGGTCCAGTCGACGGCGCTCACCTTCTTCGGTCGCGTTCCCCGCCAACACCAGGACTGGTTCGACAACAACGACGCCGCCATCAGAAATCTGCTTGCTGAGAAGAACCGCCTACACAAAGCCTACGTAGATCACCCCACTGATGCCACCAAAGCTGCCTTCTACCGCAGTCGCCGCCAACTTCAGCAACGACTGCGCGAGATGCAGGACGCCTGGACTGCTCGCAAAGCTGAGGAGATCCAAGGGTACGCGGACCGCAACGAATGGAAGAACTTCTTCTCTGCGATCAAAGCTGTCTACGGTCCGCCGACGAAGGGCACTGCTCCTCTCCTCACCTCCGACGGTAGCACTCTCCTGACTGAGAAGACGCAAATCCTACAGCGATGGGCCGAGCATTTCCGAGGCGTCCTCAACCGCCCCTCCGTCATCTGCGACGCCGCCATCGAGCGTTTGCCGCAAGTAAAGACCAACGTGGACCTCGACCTCCCGCCATCTCTCCAGGAGACCATAAAGGCCGTGCAGCAGCTCTCCAGCGGTAAAGCACCGGGGTAGGACGCAATCCCTGCTGAGGTCTACAAGCACGGCGGTCCCCAACTCATGGACCACCTGACTGCGCTCTTCCAGGAGATGTGGCGTCAAGGTGAAGTCCCGCAAGATTTCAAAGACGCAACCATCGTGCATCTCTACAAGCGCAAAGGGAATCGCCAAGTCTGCGACAATCACCGCGGCATCTCCTTGCTGAACATCGCCGGGAAGATCTTCGCCCGCATCCTCCTCAATCGCCTCAATAACCATCTGGAACAGGGCCTTCTGCCGGAAAGCCAATGCGGCTTCCGTCGTCATCGTGGGACCACGGATATGATCTTCGCCGCCCGTCAACTTCAGGAGAAGTGTCAGGAGATGCGGACTCACCTGTACTCTACCTTCGTGGACCTGACGAAAGCCTTCCACACGGTGAATCGTGAAGGACTGTGGAAGATCATGCAGAAATTCGGCTGTCCGGAGCGATTCACTCAGATGGTGCGTCAGCTGCACGACGGTATGATGGCGCGAGTCACAGACAACGGAGCTGTCTCAGAGGCATTCGCAGTGACCAATGGAGTGAAGCAGGGCTGCGTACTGGCGCCTACCCTCTTCAGTCTTATGTTCTCTGCCATGCTGATGGACGCCTACCGCGACGAACGCCCCGGGATCCACATCGCCTACAGGACGGACGGTCACCTGCTCAATCAACGGCGAATGCACTTCCAATCACGCGTATCCACAACCACCGTTCACGAACTCCTCTTCGCCGACGACTGCGCCCTAAACACCACCTCGGAAGAGGAAATGCAACGGAGCATGGACCTGTTCTCCGCCGCCTGCGAGAACTTCGTTCTCGTCATTAACACGCAGAAGACGGTGGTGATGCACCAACCGCCACCCAACTCAGCCAGAGCCCCCAACGCGCCGCCGCAAATCAGCGTGAACGGAACCCAACTGCAGGTGGTGGAGAACTTCCCGTATCTGGGCAGTTCTCTCTCCCGCAACACCAAGATCGACGACGAAGTCGCCAACAGGATCTCGAAGGCCAGTCAAGCCTTCGGTCGCCTCCAAAGCACAGTTTGGAATCGCCACTGTCTTCAGCTGAGCACGAAGCTGAAGATGTACAAGGCCGTCATCCTGCCGACACTACTAAATGGAGCGGAGACTTGGACGGTGTACGCAAAGCAGGCACGTCGTCCGAAGCACTTCCACCTCAGTTGTCTTCGTCGCATCCTGAGGCTAAAGTGGCAGGATCGAATCCCCGACACTGATGTGCTGGAAGGGACGGGAATCCTCAGCATCTACGCCATACTGAGGCAAATTCAGCTGCGCTGGAGCAGCCACCTGGTGCGCATGGACGACGAGCGACTACCCAAACGACTCTTCTACGGAGACGTCACGACGGGTTCTCGCCGTCAAGGAGGCCAGATTCGCCGTTACAAGGATACCCTGAAGTCTTCCCTGAAATGCCTGCAAATCAACCCCACCAACTGGGAGGAGCTCGCACTCGGTCGACTGACCTGGAGGAGGACAGTGAAGACAGGCGCTGCGATATACGAAGCCAACCGCATCACTGCCGCCAAAGCGAAACGTAAAGCCTGCAAATCACAACTTCGCCCAGTAAGCAACGCCGCCGCACAACCGCTTCCAACGTTTCATCGATGTGAACGGACATTCCGGGCTCGAATCGGACTTGTTGGACATCTTCGGATTAACTGCGCCTCTCGAACAGCACCAACCATCGTCCCCCCGCCTGCCTCTTCCTCCTCTCCGCCGCCAACTAACCCTGACAATTCTTCTGACCCACCACTTCAATCATCCTTTTCCTCCTCCTCCTCCTCCTCCTCCTCCTCCTCCTCCTCGCCCACTGCTCCAACGGCGGCCGCTCAGGCGACTGTCCCGCGCACAACAACCGACACTACCACAACCTCCCCCGACTCCAGGGATGAGGATCAGGACTACACCTGCCCTCACTGCGACCGTACCTTCACCTCACACATCGGCCTGGTCGGCCTATTCGGCCACATGCGCATCCACGACGACCTGCGGTAGACAACCGCCGGCCACACCACACATTCACTCACTCCCTTCCTCCTTCACCACCACCATCACCCCACCAGAAATCAACACTCACACACCTCATGCACCCAACTGCCACCTCCCACGCAAGTGAGAAGTCCGCATCTAGACTCGGTCCCCATGCGGCTTCGGCTTCACGGGTGACTTGAGTCCGAGACTATTCCGACACGTCAAGCGTCGTGGATAGGAAGGTTGCTGATTGACGGCCGCTCTCGGTTCACGCAGTTCGTCGCGTTGTGTGTGTTGCGTGGAGTGGCGGACTGGTGGGCTGGGGACGGGCTGAAACAGCACCTTCCACGGCACTCTCACGCAAGAGAGAGACAGGCCGTTCAACCCCCGTTGTGTGAAATCCTGGTGTTGTGTGTATGGGGGGTCAGGCCGTGCCGTGGCGCGCGCAGCAATGGTCATTCGACCATGACAGCCACCACACCCATTCCCCACTCCAGCCTGCTGACCGGCTCGGACAGCGGCTGGGGTGTGGGAGTGGAAAGGGAGAGTGAGGTCGACGACTCAGCGCACTTTCTCCTCACTATAAACAATCTGACGCGCTTGAAGCTATCACGGTGCGCTAAAAGCCGTGGCTTGGAAGGTTGCCAACTGACGGGTATCTTGGACCTCCTCCTTGACCGGAGGCGGTCTGAGAGTCAGGCTGCAATGTCTCCTTTTTAATGTGGCCTTTCTGGCACTCCCATCACAGTGTGGGATCCGAGCCAGGCGTTGGCGGCACGCCCAGGTGCGGCTTCGGCCGTGCCAGCCTCCAAATCGCTCTTGTGTTGGTTGAAATCCTGGTTATTTGTTGTGTGGACCAGGGGGTGTGTTGGAACGCCAAGGTGAGGATCCGTCCGAGCCATCCACCTGCGGCCTCTCTCGTCTCCGGTCTTCTTTACTCCGTCTTGACACCGGGCTCGGGCGAGGGAGGAGGAGAGAGTGTAGGTAGATACTACGCAAGTCTACCGGCACTATAAACCCCTGAGTAAGTCACCGTCCCTTCTCCCATTGCTGCTGCAACTGTGGGGCACACGGTGGACATCATCGAAACTGATGGTCGAACTGTCATGGCTCGCAATAAAGCATCATTTGAAGCATTGCCTCCTGGTCTTAAGTTCTGCATTCCTCGTCAAAATGTCAATCAACGAGACTTAGAAGCAGTTTGAGAATCTCTGGAGCCAGACGTACGATTTAAAGCCCATTTCCACAGATAGTGTCTAACATTTGAAATCTGCACTAGTGAATTGCAGTTATTACTATCTGAATAAAAGCACAAAAAGTCAGGGACTGCTGACGAAAGTACTCATAAAGAAGTTAAAGCAGCTGAGAGAGAACAGATATATGTTGGTAACTACACCGGATAAAGGAACAGGCGTAGTTATATTGAATAGATCGGATTATGCGAAGAAATACTGTCCATCATGTCAGGTTGGTGGAGAAACCCAAACCTGTACAGTATCACCTAGCACCACATAGCTATCGGGATACCTTCTAGTTCATTGAAGATGTTAAAGCCCTAAACATAAGCGGCATGGTGTTATTTTCATCTGATCTCTCATCGCTCTTCACCAACGTTCCGGTCACAGAGACAGTCGAGCACATTTGTGTATTGCCGTTAACCAAACCACTAGAACACAGGTGTTCCGATGAACGCACTCAAGGAACCATTATTAGAGTGCACACAGAATATGCAGTTCGTTTCGACGACAAACTATATGCACAAATAGACGGACTTGCTATGAAATCGCCAATTCGTCCTCTCCTAACCGATTTCTTCATGGGCAAGCCTGATAAGTTTCAGCTAAACGACCACATCAATAAGCTAAGACGCTATGGTCGCAACAATGACGACGTTTTCACAATTTCAGCAAGAGAAACGAACATAACCCCCCTCCTGGATGCTGTAAATCAAGCATTCTCGTCGATCCGGTTTACGTTGGAGGTGGAAACGGCAGACTCTCTGCCTTTCCTAGACGTCCTCCTAGGCCGAAGAGCTGACGGCAACATTCGAAGACGTGTCTATCGAAAAGACATTTGGTCGGTGCAATGTAAGAACTTTTGTCGTCTCGTACCCATCAACAGAAGAATAATCTAGTCCGGTGTTTGATGCATAGGGCTAGGAAAATCTGTCCGACAGATAGCATTGATGAGGAACTTATGAAAATCCAAGACCTGCTTCGCAAGAACGGGTGTCCTGACAGATTAGTTGTAAGGAAACTTCCCGAACAAACGAGAAAACTTATCAAAGCGACGGCGAAAAAGAAAGTTCTGTTCCTCAAGGTCCCCTTTCAGGGGCACGCGGCGAGTGAACTCCTGAGAAGACGCTTTCACCAAGCCGTTTTGCGGACCTTCCCGACAGCAAGATTCCAAGACATTTATAGTTTGGCAGATTTTGAATAATTCATATTGACCCAACTGTGATAAAACTCGCGTCGTCCGGCGGGGCCTCGTAGCTCAGGTGGTGGTTAAAGCCTTCCCCCTTACTGCGTGGGTTCGAATCCCACCGAGGCGCCGAGTTTTTCACAGTTGGGTCAATATGAAAGATTCCAACCCAGCCCAGACTTACGCGTGGAAGGTAAGATTAGGCCACCAGCTCGGACCACCTCCATGTGCGTTTACTCCTTTACTTGCTCCTGTGATACAAGCTATATTGGTCATACGAGTCGGAGCCTATCCACAAGAATACGTGAACACCTGCCGGCATGTCTGAGGAAAGGTGAAATTAGGAGGATACGACAGTTGGACTGTCGATTCCGACGATGTCCACCGTGTGCTACACAGCAGGGTGCAGCAGGTGCGGTGACATGCGCAGCATCTACTGCACCCTATCTTCCCCACTCCCACCTGGACTCGGTGTCAAGACAGCGTCAAGAAGACCGGAGGCGGGGGAGGACGCGGTTGACTGACACAGCCGGATCCGCACCTAGACGTGCTACCACATCCCTTAGTCAACAACATACACTTGACCAGGATTTTTAACCAACAACACCCAAACAGAGATCAGAAGGACGAGGATGATCGGGTAGTCATGCTCGACACCTGTATACCCATCGGGAGCGCAAGCGCATCCACCGACAGGGAACCAGGTTTCAGGGAACTGCCAGCGCATGCCAGGCTGTAAGGGCAATGGTTTGCTGGCATAGCGCACGCTTTCAAACCTTCGGACCTATATGGGCGCCACCTGGTCCTGCATTCAGCCTGGGCCGTCACCTTTCAGGGCTGGGTAACCAAACAGTCGTCGACTGAGAGGCACTACCCATAAAGCACACCCACACTCCTCACATGCATGAGAGTGTCACAGAGGTCACTTTAAGAAGGGGCCGTGACAGCCTGGCTCTCAGCCCACCAGTCCGCCACTACACACAACACACACAAATGGGCAGACCGCGTGGACCGATTTAGGTTGCCAGTCAGCAGTCTTCCAAGCCACGGCGCTCGGCGCACCGTGATAGTCCCAGACTCGGATCACACATGCAGCCGCATGGAGAAGGAGCCGAGAAGCACACTTCCCACTTGCGTGGGAGGTAGCAGTTGGGGGATTGCGGTGAGTGATGTTGATGTGCGGTGAGATGCTGGTGGGGGGATATGATGGTGTGGAGCAGCCGGCGGTTGTCTACTGCAGGTTTTCGTAGACATGCATGTGGCCAAATACACCCACGCGACTAATAAATATGCAAGTGCAATGAAGACAGTGGTAGCGGATGCGGCGAGTGTGGGTTGATGCACCAGGCACTGGTTTACCAGTATCTATGCGATGGATTCGCATCTGATTGGCCAGGCGGATGTGTGAGGTGAAGGTGCGATCGTAATGAGGACAGGTGTAGACCCGGTCCTCGTCAGTGTTTTGACGGTGACGGAGTTGGTGTGTGAGGATTGTGTGTGGTGTTGGTGCTCATGGCATACGCCACAGCGGCAGACGTTAACACGGTGGGGGAGGAGGAGGAGGATGGTAGTGGTGG